TCTTCAGAAAGCTAAACGCTCAGACATAGTACTCGTAGGGGGTGACTTTAATGTCTAAGTAGGTAGCTTAAACCAAACAGAAAGGCATTTAGGTGGGTATTTTAGTATACCGGCACAACGAACAGATAATGGTGATCGTCTGCTGCAAATATGCTCAGACAATCGTTTATTTTTAGCAAACACAAATTTTAAGCATAAGGAAAGACATCGTCTAACATGGCGACCCCCTACACCAAACCAATGATGGACTCAAATAGACCATATTGCCATCAGTCATCGTTGGAGAGGGTCGGTAGAAGATTATCGCTCATTCTGGAGTACCTGCTTGGACTCCGACCACGCCCTAATACGGACACGCATCTGCTTGCGCCTCACTGGACGCAAATAGCCGCACAAAAAGGACCCATTAAAACTGAATTGAGTAACGAGAAAACCAAAAGTAGGTTCCAGGAACAACTGAGGTCACGATTAGGTAGTTGTGAAGACGAGGCTGACCAAGATGTTGCTTGGAATGAAATACAAGCAGCTGTGGAAGCAGCAGTGACATCTATTAGCGACTTAAACCACAGAGTTACAACGAACTAGTGGATTTCTTCAAGGTCTATCACACTGATGGATTCTCGCAAACTCGTCCCATCAGGTTCCGAACATGATGAAGAGCGACAACAAATCAGATCTAGGTTAAGAAAAAGTCTGAGAACAACCGTGAGCAGTGGTGGGCAACGAAAGCAAAAGAGATGGAAAAGGCGGCGACTATAGGGAACACAAGACAGCTTTACAGACTAATAAAAGAAACTGGAATTAATAAGTCAAGTGTAAGTGAGATTATATCGGAAAAAGACGATACACTCATCTGCTCCCAGTCCAGGCGTTTAGAACGATGGGCGGAACATTTCAGAGAACAGTTCAGCTGGCCTTCAGCTACTCTACAACTACCCACCATTCCCAGACAGTGTGAATGGAACATTGAAGTAGGTCCCCCAACTCTAGCATAAGTTCAAAAGGCTATAGTTAATCTGAAACGAGGAAGGGCAGCTGGTCCAGATGGATTGGCCTCAGAGGTCTTTAAGGATGGTGGTCCAATTTTAGCGATAAGGTTGACTAATATTTTATCTAAAATCTGGGAGTTAGACGTTATTCCATCTAACGGGTCACAATCACTTATCGTCCCAATATATAAGAAAGGGTCAAAAACATCCTGTGACAACCACAGAGGGATTAGTTTAACTAATATAATATCTAAAATACTAGCCTCGATAATTATCAGACGCCTAACTAAGACTCGTGAACTGCAAACACGAGAGAACCAAGCTGGCTTTAGACCTGGTCGTGGCTGCATCGATCACATATTCACCATTCGTCAGATTCTAGAACACAGGCATACTTATCGGCGTCCGACAATGGTGGTCTTTCTCGACTTAAAAGCAGCATTTGACTCGGTAGACCGCGAGATTCTGTGGCAGTGTCTGTCATTGAAAGGTGTACCCCAAAAGTACATAAACCTTGTGAAGGCTCTCTACTCGAACACTACCAATCGAGTCAGAGCTTATGGCGAACTGTCATCTGATTATGCAACCTCAAGTGGTGTCCGTCAAGGCTGTCCACTTTCCCCATTTTTGTTTAACTTCATCATAGATCTACTGATGGAAATAACTTTCTCGTCAACTGAGTTCTCGGGTATTGATCTCCTTCCAGGAGGTCCACTTATCGACTTAGAATACGCAGATGACATAGTCCTGTTTGGTGAAGACGCTGACAAAATGCAGAGTCTTCTGGTAGCACTGAGCAACAATGCCAGGATGTTTGGAATGCGCTTCTGTCCCTCTAAATGCAAGTTGTTGCTTCAGGACTGGTCTGCGTTAACACCTGAACTAAGGATAGGGAGTGAAGTAGTCGAACGCATTGACAACTTCACTTATCTTGGAAATCTGATCAGCCCTAATGGGTTGGTATCGGACGAAATCTCTGCGTGGATTCGAAAGGCTCGTTTTGCTTTTGCTAACTTACGTCACCTATGGCGAAGGCGAGATATCCGTCTATCAATTAAGGGACGAGTATACTGCACGGCAGTCCGTTCTGTCTTACTTTACGGCAGCGAGACATGGCCATTAAGAGTAGAAGACACTCGTAAGCTATTAGTATTTGACCACAGATGCCTTAGAAATATTGCTGGCGTCTGCTGGGTTCACCGGATAAGTAATAGTGAGGTTAGACGCAGGGTATTAGGGAATGATGGTAAATCAGTTGATGAGGTTATGAATCTTCATCGACTGAGATGATTGGGCCACGTGTTACGTATGCCTGAACACCGATTACCACGACGTGCAATGCTATCCGGTATTGGAAATGGTTGGAAGAAAGTTAGGGGCGGCCAAACCAAAACGTGGCATCAGTGCTTGAAGTCACTAACTTCTAGTTTGAGCCATGTTGGTAGATGCAGACTATCGTAACCAATGGTTGGAGACTCTTGGTGACATGGCTCAGAATCGATCACAATGGCGTCGGTGTATACACTCTCTGTCTTCCCTTAAACTAAGAGATTAAAATCGCTTCATATCTTCTTTCTACGAACCAATTCTTTCTTCTTGTACTATATCTCTATATGCGATCTTTCTCTTACATATTACTACCTTTGACCTAACCACTGCTATGAATCCGGTGTTCATCTTGTTGTGCTGATGCGGTATGGCAATCTGGACCGATGCACATATGTGCCTGGTCCTACGTTGTAGCTGACTGTGCATAGTTGCAGTAGACGGTCCCCGTTATCTGACCTGCGACCAACGAGTCCCCATCGGCCACCTAAACGACTCTCTTCTGTGCCTAGACGCCCGACCTGAGCATTCAAGTCTCCGGCTAGTACCACAATATCTGTCGAACGCACTTTCTGGAGAAGAACAGATAACTGGTGGTAAAACTCATCCTTGATTGCATCCGGGCTGCAATCTGTCGGGGCATAGGCGGAGATGACGAAAAGACATCGTTTCTCACGCCGATTTCTTCTCACTTTGATGGAACTTTCTAATCTAACAGCACATAACCGACTGTTAATGGGGATCCAATCGACTAGTGCTGCCTCAGCTCTAGCGCTTAGTGCGACACCAACGCCTGCAAGACCAGACGAAGATGCCACAGGGTCCCCGGATAAGCGCACGTAAAACAAGCTTTTTGAAGTGACAGATGTAGAGCGAATTTGTAGTACTTCGCCAGAGTCTTGAATACGGGTCTTGGATAGACAACAAACATCAATATTAAAACTTTCCAAAGACATAGTCAGCCCTATCTGTTGACCAACCTGCATAAGTGTGCGAACGTTGAAGGCAGCCAGTTTGAATGGCGCACGTGGTTTCAGAAAAACTGCTTCAGTACTCATATTCGATGGTAAAATACAATTTTCAACCGGACAGTGACTCGAGAACGTTTAGATACAGTCAGATTTCCACCAAAGACGAGCCGCTGTATAAGTATAAAAGAGGGTGAATAATGTGGAAAATAATAATAATAATAATAATAATAATAATAATAATAATAATAATAATAATAATAATAATAATGATAATAATGACAATAATAGTAATGATAATTATTTGAATCGACTGATTGTTTTTCGGAGCGAGAAAAGTGGTTGCCATAGACATAGAGTTCATCGTTTGTGTGTGGGCTGTGATACTGCCCGGGTGCCCAAACCGAAGCAGGTGGTTATCTTAGGGGGCCACACCCCGAGTCTTTGACCTAAAGGTCTAACCCACAAGGCAGTGGAGCATCGTAAGGAGATGCAATCCCATGGTAGCCGGTGACCAAAGATTGGTTCATACGCCATTTGTTCCCGCAGGATACTGGAGCCCATGTGCACCATTGATTTGGTTTGGAATCCGGTTAAAGCGCCGGACATTCGCTTTTCGTCCTCTCATTTTCGTAAACAACACCCCCGCCACGAGAAGGCAATGAGTAGGACTTCCCTAGCAGAGGCTGTATACGCGTGGCCGTGTGAGAGTATTTCGAGAGGGAGAGCGGACTCTCCCCACTCTCGGCCGTACCAGGGCATTCGGGGGAATGGCAACTTGTACTGATGCATATATGTGCCTGGTCCTACCTTGTAGCTGACTGACTGAGTTGTTAAACACTCACCTATTTAATAATGAATATTTTCAGATTTCGGGATTTAATTCGTCAATTAGTAGTTTTGTAGGTAACTCAAAGTTCATAGATAGTTTTGTCACCTCTAATTGGCGCTTGTTTTATATCCCATTATAAGACCCACATCATCGTAAGGTCGTGATCAAGAGCTAATTGATGAAAAATGTTTCTAATCTTTTTACTCGAATGCAAATTGCAAACGTTCTGTACTGTGAATGCCCAAACTACTAGATATGGCCCAAAATAGGAATCACTACCAATTCTGATATGATTTCCGTCTACATTCTATATGAAAGCGAAATATAGCTGCATAATCGAAAAACGTTCTCTTGGTTGTATTTTTGATAGATGTATATCCAATATATTATACTATTTTAATTCGCTTTTTATTAAGTTTACGTTTTGTTAATTGTATTCCCCTCCTCTCGTTTGTTTCATCGTAATCGTACTTCTTTATTTGTGTGAGGCATACTCATTATGCTGTCCAGTTCTACCAGTATTTGTCTCAAATAGGTAAAGTAGGATCTGGGTCATGTATCTGGCTCTCACACAAGCACAGTTCGATATCTAATAAAATGAACATGTACTCCGTTATTAAGTCGTGTGATAAACTTATGTGCTTATAGTGCTTGTATATTCAGAGTAGTCATGAAATATAAAAGAAGTTCTGTCATTTCGTGAGTTTCATTTTCTTTTTCATCAGAAACGATAAGGATAACTTTGCACTATTCTTGGAAATTCTGATTCTTTGTACATAATGTTTAGTAGTAGTGTTCGTCAGCCAGCCAGTTACATGGAACTAATTTTCTAAAAAAAATTTTGCGATATCTTTTTACAGTTGTGTTGGTCGAAAATATCTAGTCATGAGTAATTCAGATTTCGGTATTATTGCTTTGGAGATCTATTTTCCAAAATTTTATGTCTCTCAACATGATCTCGAAGTAGAGGACAAATGTGTGGGAAAGTATACTCAAGGATTAGGACAAACATCTCTTGGATTTTGTTCAATACAGGAAGATATAAATTCAATGTGTCTAACTGTTGTGAGCAACCTTATCAGGCGTACAAATCTTGACCTGAAAACAATTGGTTTTCTCGAGGTAAGTAATTTGCTGTTCTTTGAAATACCTAAATCGTATGTTGTGTGTATTAATTTTATTTCGCTAATATATGGAAAAATTTCGGTGAGGCTATCATTTAAGCTAGAAGAACCTTAGTTTGATATTTGAAAGTGTATTCTCACTACTTAAGAAAATAAATTAAATGTGAACGGTTTACAGTGTCCATATTTTGATTAAATTGTCAGAGTTTTCCCTTCTAGACAGTAATTTTGAGTTGGAGCAAATGACATAACGCCCTGACACTGTGGTTTAAATTCACCAATAGTCAATATAAACATTCGCCTCTTAAAAGTGACCTTTCGAAAGATTATACATATTTCTTACGAATACTTCTTAGTTGTATTTATTCTTTCTGTCATACTTATCGCATCATAATACTACCATGTTCAGAAAAATATCATTGTGTGGACATACTTTAGTGAACAGGAACACCCGTGGGGACAATCGAATGTATTTAACACAAAATTACTGAACTTTTTAATAAAATCTAACAATCATAAAATGAATGCTTAATTTGCAAAATGTCCACCATTTGTCTCAAAATGACTCAGACTTCATTGTTCTTGCATTTTCATACAAATTGCATCCTGTTTCTATATTTTACTGTTCAATCCTCTTGTCTCTCTACTGCCAGACCTTCTGTTCACGACTAACATCATATACTACTTATGTCAGTATAAGTAGCACACACCACAGTGCTACTTGTTCTTAGCAATCGATTCGTGGATTACGTTCTTAGACGTTATTATGTCAAATAACGTTTGCGTTTGTTTACATTTTAATCGATCTCGGTTTTAATAGGATTAGTAACTAATCATAGTTAAATTATAACAGTCAAATCGCTTACAGAAATGAGTACTTTCTTATATCCGTATAATTTTAAGCAATAAAAGTTTCTGTGTTTAATTTATAGGTTGGAACAGAAACGATTATAGATAAATCAAAGTCTACAAAAACCGTACTAATGCAATTATTCGAAACAGCTGGTAATTTTGACGTTGAAGGAACGGATACAAAGAACGCGTGTTTCGGTGGTACCTCTGCTTTGTTCGGTGCGCTTAACTGGCTTGAATCTAGTTACTGCAATGGTAAGTTGAGTAAACTTTATGCACTATCACGATAGTTCCTATCATATTCTAAAACCAAATTAACATCGGTTAAATGCTTTTATCATTTTAATCCCAGGTCCAACGTTTCACTGTCTTTATATATCTATTTTTTCAAGTATTAAGCTTCCTTAGGTCTTACACGATAAGTATGGCTCAAAATTTGATCTCTTAACCCGAATGCAGTCCTTGATTTGTGTTACTATTTGATTTAGTCTCGGCAAATCGATAATGTATGTGTTGTACTCGATAAGCCTAATGACTTGTTAGTCATGTATATTATAAAAATGTGAAGGATATAACTACTGCCTAAAACCGTTGTAAAACCCCAAATACATTAAGGTTTTAGAGGTGTTTACGGAAGGAAGTATTAAATTAAAATTTAAAATCAATTTATAAAACAGCGTATCTAAAATCAGTCAGTTTGTTTTTAATTTTGCATTTCGTCTCATTCCAGTGTTACTGTGTTTCTGATCTCTTTGCATTTTTTTCCATATGAAGGCCGTATGGCGTTGGTTGTTGCAGCTGATATAGCAGTTTATGGGGATAAATCAGCTCGTCCTACCGGTGGTGCGGGGGCTGTAGCAATTTTACTCGGACCGAATGCTCCTTTGGTGATTGACTTTGGTAAGGTCTTAACTTTTAAAGATTTGTTGAGTAGATACTATGGTGTTCCAGCTGTCTTATGAAGATTTGTATGCTCAGTTGTTTTTCGTAGAGAGAATGTTTTATGATATCACTCAAAATTTAGGTTTCTTTGATTGCAAGCATCTATTGGTTAGATAGTTGCTATAATCAAATTTGAACTGCATTCAAGATTATGAATAAGAGTTTTCATCATTTCTAGGAAAACGTTACATTTGGAACATTTAGTTTGTGACGAATTTTTACTGATCAACGAGTTTAATAACAATAAAATAACACTGCATCACGAACTTCAAGTTCCCGATGTTAACACATTTGTTACTTTCTAGTAGTATACATCAATATAATAAAAACGCACTGGTTATCATTCATTATGGAATGCCTAGTACTGCAATTGAAATTCCTTAACTATTATAGCGTTACAAATTCCACATGATAAATATGTTTATCGAGTAGCTTTTACGAGATAGCATTATGATGTTCTTTGTTCGTTATTGTATAGATTGTGTTAGCTTTTGGTTTGTAGATTTTATATCAGTATCATTCTAAAAACAGTTCTCTCTTTCAGCATGTTGGCGTTTCTTGTATAATAATCTTTGGAGTTTAGATATTTGAAGTATTCTGCGTTTTGGTGTTCTACTCAAAACTTTACTTCTTATATCAGTTCATTTCGTATACAAACAGAATTAGTTTTCTTCAAAAAGAAATATTATTACATTTGCTATGTCTTACTTTTTTTTCGCAAAATCCCTGCCGCCAATTGTTATATCTTTTGGCCTGTTTATTATCACGTTATAAGATCGCCAATCAAAACACGACTTATACAATCTTAACACTGTACTAAACCAATAATATGTTGACCGGCATAGGAAGCCTGCAGTTCTTATTGGTCCTTTTCACCTAGCCCTGCCTATTCAGTCCAGCACACAATCTCAGCCTCCACCGTATGATTAATGTCTTTCGGACGTACCTAGCAAATCAGACTGCATCACACCATAAATTGAAAAATGACATTTATATAAGATCAAACCAAAAGTGACTGAGTGTGAAAGACTGTAACTAATAGATTGGGGCTACCTTAAGGATATCAAATCGTATAACAGTAGTCATTTGGTCAAATGGAAGCTTATGATAAAAGAAATACGAATATGCATATATAATCTAGTTACTTAATAGTTATCCAATAGGAATATATGTAATAATAGTTCATAAATAATTCCTAGTAGTTACCATCCATTTATTCTTCGTTCGGATATAGCAGAAATGGAATAGTAGCAATAATAAGTTGAACGACTAAGCCTTTGGAATAAGATTTGAAAAAAACAGATTAGATAGGTATATATGATATGAGGGAATAGTGCAATTCAAGATCGAAAGATGAACAGTGGATGAAAATAGTTGATGCATAGTTGAAATGCTAGAAGTAGTGTTATCGTGTTTATGTTGGAGATTGCCTTTAATTTGTTATCTGTATCAGCTGCAGTGATTTTGGGAGAATGGGTATATTGGCTCACCAATTTGTATCAATACGTTATCGAATTTTTTTCGATGAGTTGAGTTCGTAACAGGCTGAATTATACTTTCCTGTTCTAATCGCCGATTTGTGTTGGGCATTTAGCTCTATTATTTTATCAACTTTATGATTTTCATGATGTAGCCAAGTGATAGCTGCTCATAAGGCCAAATTATTAACTTAAATCACTGAATGATTTGAAAAACGGCCAAATCACTAACCAGAAGAATAGGTTTCTTGTGTAAAAATAAATGACGTGGCTATTTATAAAGACATATTCGGTTATAGGAATATAAATGAATAATTCATATATGACTCGGATTTCATTGTATTTATTATGGAGTTCACGTTATTTGACTGCTTATAATTCATATCAATAAACGGTTATTCCTGCTCATAATCCAGTTCTCAGTCGTTTTTCAGGATTGTATATCATGTGATCCCTAATCTTGTGGTGTAATTACCTAGCATCATGGTCTAGTGTGTCTACTCTATTATCTAGTGTATCAAATCGTATTGTCTATTAGTAGGTGCATGTACGTGACAGAATATTATTGAAAAATCATCATAGAACACTACAAATCACTGCCGAGTTGTCTTGTTATATCTATCATATTCTTAAACTGATTTACTAGGTACAGATTAATGTACTTGGCTTGGAGTCATACTCTAAGCGCTTACAGCTAGTGATACTACCTGGATGCCTGGACAGAATTAGGTGCAGTTGGATTCGGGCCTACGACGTGGTCATATGTCTCAGCTGCTGAACTACCACTGCAGATTAATCACTCTATGTAGTCAATATAAACAAATAAATGTATACCTCACTTAAATTACAGATCAATGTAGGTCTTTGTAAATGAAACAGTTTGTTATATAACAGTAATATTTTTAGCGTATAATAGGACTTTCATTTCTGTCTTCATTTATTTTGTCAAGGTCTACGAGCTGTTTATATGAAACATTGTTATGATTTCTACAAGCCAAATTTAAGCTCTGAATATCCTATCGTTGATGGTCACTTTAGTATGCAGTGTTATCGAGAGGCATTAGAAATGTGTTATAAATTATATCGACACAAATCAGCTTCTAAAGGTAAACGTATTTTAATTTATTCTGAGTATGCTATTCTTCTTCTTCTTCTTCTTCTTCTTCTTCTTCTTCTTATTATTATTATTATTATTATTATTATTATTATTATTATTATTATTATTATTATTATTATTATTATTATTATTGGTACGATTACTACTTACTATTCAGAAATTATCTTATTGAATAACTACTTCCCATTCATCTCTATATTCTGTATGAAGATTATTGAGTTTCATTGAAGTCATAAACCGATCAACGTTAGACCACCATTCAGAACCTTTCGATATTACTTATTAATTAATATCTTTATGACTTTATCTATTAATCGTCGATAAACAGTGTTATTCAATCAAACGTCTGTTGAACATTGAATAATCAGTTAGTAACAGTTGACTTCAATAGGGTTTATTAGACTGTTTATTGGCACATTCCAGTACTGTCTCTCATATTCAGTCATTGAACTCATATCCGAACGCTTTTCCAATTTTCTGTTAGGTCTAGTTGAACCCATTCACGTTGTGATTATTTTACTTATATTTTACTCCTTTCCATCAGTTAGAGAATACAAGGCTTATTGGTCGGTTTCGAAAGTATGAAGTGTAAGTGTAAACAAGCTGTACTGATGTGGTGATGAGATTGTGAGTGAAAACAATTTTATGACTGTTTTTAAATCTTTTCACCAAAAACCTTTAAGCAAGTTATTCTTCATTTCATGATATTCATTGTATGAATGATTTTCACGTATGTGAATATAAACTTTTTTGTGTACTTTGTAAAGTCAATTCTTCTTTATTTGTATTTACACAGTACTAGTTTGACAGTATCATTTTTAGATTTTATAAAATAAACTGTTTGTGTTTTACATTTTAGGTCTCAATAGTATAATAACAACACCTTGGCGAGATACTTTACCGAAGGTAAACAATGCAATAGACTATATGTGTTTGCATGCACCATTTACTCGTCTTGTACAAAAAGCGATCGGTTGGTTAGCAATGATTGATATGCGTACAGAAGGCATTATTGCAGATACATCAAACGATTCTGATGTATTCTTATCATCTTCAAAAGCTGGTCAATTATGTCATAATAATCATCAAATGACGTCGAAATCAGAGTATTTTGATCAGATAGACCCATCTATTTTTAATGCTTTAAAAGATTACCGTTTACTTGATAATAAACAGTAAGTTTATTATTTCATGGTGATATTAGCAATTGTATTATTAGTAACAGTAGTAACGGTTTTCTATCGTTTTAAGCTTCCCAATTAGTTTGAAAGTAGTTGATCTCATAATAATGTAGTCAGTCACTAGTTAAACAGTGACTTAAAATTCCCTTTAATCAGATGTTTGGATTTGAATGACCAAAACCTTTATAAATGAAAAAAACCTGTATGAATGAGGTTTACCACGAATACAAATATCAGGAAGTAGAACTTAGCCTCAGTCGTCCGGTCAGGACTGACTTTTTAGCTTTCAAAATTTAGTATTTTGAGTGTCGATTATTGAGAGGTGTTATCAGTCTTAACTTCTGACAAGTTCTGGAGTAAAATAGTCGTTGGGTACTTTCTGATTTCTAGATTTAACTCTCACACACTAGGTTATAGGTTCGAACTCCGCCCCGTCTACTTTATTTTGGGAAACGGGTTAGGGTTAGCATCAGTATCTTCCACATTTAGGGTGTGACTCGAAGCCAAGTAAACTAATCTGTATCATCTGGTAAATTAGTGCCCCTGATTTTCGAATGTTGCTTTCACTTTTATTCAGCGATTATGATTCGTGTATTGCTTACTGACTAACATTTTTGTTATTTACTTTAGTATTCCAGATCGCCAGTTGGATACAATTTGTTTGAAAGCTACTGAATCGTTGTACAGGCGTAAAGTAGATCCTGGACTAATGTTCGCTAAAAATATTGGAAACATGTATACTGCTTCTCTATATGCATGTCTTGTTAGTCTTCTTCTTAAGTGAGTAGTTTATTATATTGTGTTGTTCTTGAAATTTTCCTCACTGAATATTTTGGTTGTGTATTAAATCGATCATTTCATTGGGAAACTAAATACAATACAACATTAAAAAAACACGAAGTTCAGCGAAGGGATCTTTTTTCAGTGAATTTATTAACGAGCTGTACAATCGTACCTATATGAAAATTTTGTTAAAGTATTACTTCCGTGAGTACATATGAACAAGAAATAAACACGATAGGGATAAGACGTACTTCTCTTGTACACACAGTTCTGCCTTCAAATCATGGAGCAAGAGCTTCTGCTGTTTTATGGAGTTGGGTACGAAAAAATCTTGCTAGGTTTCGACGAATTGTTTAAAGAACCTTAAAATCAACCTGTGGATTAGTGGAGTGATTAGAGTCGATTAAATGTTCAAGAATGAAGCATATAACTGCTTTCCTCTCACCCTTGTAGAACCACACTGGGAAATGTTTTCGTATCCGATTTGAAAGCAAGCACTGGCGGTGGCCAATGTACCTTGTTTCGCAAGATCGGGCGATCTGGTAGATACACATAGAGGTAAACAGATGAGGAAGCTTATCCTTTGCGGATACAGAAAAGTTCCTACTAGTTAAGATTGGGCCCAAAAGAGACTGTTGCGATCCCATCTCTCTGTTTATATATTTCATTGCTGAAACTGAACTGGACATTGAAGGTACAACGTAACAAGAGTTCTTTGAAATGGTCAATCGATGGGCCTATATCTATGTTATTAGAATCAATATAATCACATATGTAACATAGTTTCAGTTATAGGTAATCTGGTGCACAGAGAACCAAAGTCAAGCGAGAAAATGAGCTTTCCGGAAGTATTGGCATCCTTAATATTATCAGTAACACAAATCATTCATAACATATGTACGTAATAATATTCCTTCAATTAACCAAGAACCCATTTTCCTATAAGAGAATAAAGGGAAGAACAAAAGTTCTATTATAGCTAAGATTGACTCTGATATATTATGGAATCTGTGGGTACCTCAAGAAAAGTTTGATGTTTAGTTGATAATCACCTACTAAAGGTAAGTTTTCCTCCAGGGGTCTAGGTTCGACATCAATACTCTTAGATAGAAAAAATTTTGAGATGGCTTTTCGAAAAATCCATTTTCGACAGATTTTGATCGGATTTCCTGAAATTTTGCATAAAGAATGTTACTTAATTGTACGTACTGGTTAGGTATGTTCGCATTAATTATAGCTTTCATTGTTTAATTCAGGTGTGTTTGTAAAACGTAAGTCATAGTTCTTACTGATTGGCAGGATTTAGCTTACAAACATTGGAGTTGCAGAACTATGTTTGATCAATCGTTGAATTGAATGAATTGATGCATTAAAATGTAAATTTGGTTTTTCTTCTGATTTTCCTATGTATATGTTTATTCCGACGTTTCATCCCACGGATTGATTTTAGTTAAACAACAATTGAAGGCTGGAATCAGTGTACACTGAATGATAGTCGTAAAATATCACCAGTTAAATGATATTAGGACCTGGACTCTTAACCTTTTACCTTCTGACTACTGGGTCAGTATACAATGGTCCATATTTCTAACTTCAGCAAATTTAGTTTTCATATATATATATATATATATATATATATATATATATATATATATATATATATATATATATATATATATATATATACCAATGTAAACTGTTTAAAAAATAATTGTCAAGAATATTTATGAGTTTCAATGTTCACTGCTGGGTCTCAAGGTTCTCAATGTGGTCATTGCTATACTTTACCGTGGAGTTTCGTAATAGGACGAAACAATTGTCCACTGCTTCCTGGCCTTCACTTATTGTTTAACTAAGATCAGTCTGTGATGTGTAACGTCAAAATCAATAATCTCCTCAACGCCCTATATTTGCATATTTTCTCGATTTTCACATTCTTGTTAGTTGATTTGACTATTTTGAAAACTAGGTCTTCTTTAAATCTAAAAACTAAGGATATTTTTGCTTGTATTGAGTTTACATCTACAATTTGTGTATATTAGGAAATGAGTATAGAAATGGTTTTTTTTCTTTTTTCAAAAAGTCATTTAACGTGCAGGAACAGTTAAACAAATATTCCACAATGAAGAGTTGAAATTTTCGTTGTCTGATTTAAATTTCGAAAAATAAGTTTTTTGAGTTTCATTTTACCCATTAAAATTAAAACTACTAAGATCTGGGGTTATTCTTAACTGAATGTTTATGTTACTTTAGAATATAATTAATAGTTGTTTGTTTTATGGATTGTGATACTTTGCCATTTATTTCGTCTATCGAATCAACCTGCTTATCACAGCACTTATATAATCTCAGTGAAGTTGAATAACTTAATTGAGTTATTTACTTCACATAAGACCATTTACATACCAACCATTTGTATTTAACTTTAAAGGATACTGGTTTTTAAATAATTTTCTGGCACACAGTAACATTAAAAAAATTGCCAAGATAAATTAGTTATGTAATTTAATAGATTAGTTACATTTTTTAATTATATCAGTTTAACCTTAAGATATTGTAAATTGTATGCTGAATAATTATCTAGTCCAATTTATTGAAATCAGACTATTAATAAGTGTTGATAAGATTTAAAATTAGTGCATTCAGATATAGATTACGGTGTATAATAAATCTTCATCTGTTGTCCTTTCCTTCCAGCTTTCATCTAGTTACACCAGTATTTTGTTCAGTTATAACAGGATCAGACATGATTTATATCAAGAAATGCTATACGAAACGGTGAAACTGAACTATAAGGTCATTTCAATAAAGAAAGATCATATCGTTTCATAGTCACGGTATATATATCAGAACACAATTTTTTCTATCATACATAAACGGCTAATGACGAAAACGTCTGTAAAAGCTAGGGTTTGGATTTAAGATTTAGTGTTTGAATTAAGATAAGGATTTAGATGAATAGTTCGCGATTCAGATGAAAGTACATATAAACTAACCGTAAAACAACCGTAAACTTTAACCACAGTCGTTAATCCTAATCTTATATCTTGAACTCTACCTTTCTAACCATAAATTATTCACCCACAAACTTAACTCACGGGACTGTGATGTAAACTAGCTAGATATTCAGTAATAAAATTTAATGAGGCAAAATATATATTGATATTTATTAGTACAACAGTTGAACTAGTAATTAATACTTTGTGAATCAAACAGTGGCCAACATAATATTGAAAGGACAGAATACTGTAAGACTATCTATACAAAGAATGATAAGTATTAACTTCATTGTCTATTGTCGATGTTCACATCAAACGACAAACACACAGTATACTTCCAACTCATAAGTACGATCGATCACAGATTCTTTGAAGATAATTGGAACGAAGATATCAATATTAGTACAGATACCTAGAAAAACCAATCCGTTTACTCCATTCAACGTCTGACTACAAATCAGTCAGTGTCGATCTTGTGTAATTATTTTGGTTGTGAAAAGTGCACTACATACTTGCGAACACTGATCATTCATGATTAAGCGTGATTTTGACAGTTTGTGAATTCATATACACCTATATGCATGCTTAACCTAGTTCTCACTTGAGGATATCAATACTTATTCTACAATCCACATATTTTTACACATCTTTTCTTCATCATACTATCAATTTACAAAACTCATTACCACCACTACTACTACCTATTAATCACACACAGTAGTAAATAAAATGATGACCAGTAAGATAAATAGTAGCCCATGCATATTGTACATGGAAATCTAGTCATGGTAACAATATAAAACAAGCAACTAGTTTTCAATACTATCCTAATTATTATCACTATTATTATTATTGTGTTACTATGACTGACAAAAAATATCATGCGAATAACAATTAGGGCTATTTTAGAGTATAATTAAGAAACATGCATTTAATGTTGAAACATATTTTAGGTTGAAATAAGAACTGTGATATTTTTCTTACCTGTTATTCTCAGTTAGTTCATAATTCTTTAAACTGTGAATTGTTGGAAATATACTGTTTGCAACTGCTTGATACTATTTATCTGTTACATTTCAACATAATAAGTATAAAAGGTTTACCAGCGGTATTGATGGGACCGTATATAGACAACTAGTGATCAAAAATATTTGACTTTTTGTGTAATTAATCAAATGTATATGAAACAAGGTCATCTGCATGGGTTCATTGGTATTAATTTTAACAAATACCCAAATCAGCCAACAGAATAAGAGTCAATTATTTTATTGTCAAAGAAATCTTCAATATACTTGTTTTCCTGGATGGCTATTGTTTCCCAGTTGTAATTTTCCGTGTTTGATACAGATTGGTATATATCTTATTCATATATCCCGACTGTGGCTCACACTTGCATATTGTGATGATTCAATGTAACCATATTAGGTAAAATAACTGCTCCGTTATGACCTGCTATCCCAGGCTGGTCGGTTGGAGAGTGAATTCTAAAAGCAGAAAATAATAGGTCTCAATAAAAATTTATTCTGATGACTGTATTGGGATTTGTTGTCCGTAGGCGTCTTCACCGGACATCAAGCATCTACCTTCTCAAAATAGAAGAAAACTTTCAAAAATATCTGTCTTGAAGTTAGCGTACCCAACCTCAGTTCACGTACTTCCATTGGGATCGATAAGGCTTGAAAAGTGCGGGGCTTACACCCTACGAACTTCACGTAAAAGAACCACGTGTGGCTGCTGTAAAGCAGCTATCGTTTGGGCGTTGCTATTACACTTCCATGTCACCAAGATTACCCCTAACCCAGTTTTCTTTCCAGGTCCTTCAAGAAGAAATATATTTTCATGGTGTAAACAACCGGGAGATAACAACAGCTCTCATACCTCAAATGGCACTTCGGACTTATTCACGTGTGAATGGATTACTGTTAACTCAATGTCCTCAATTCTACTTTTTTCTCTCTTATTCTTAGTACTTCAAAAGCTGAACTATTAGGACGTCGTATACTAATGTATTCTTATGGTTCTGGAATGGCATCAGCTATGTACAGTATTCTTATCCATCCAGATCGTGATTTATCCACGATTTTGAATTGTTCACTAGAATCGTCCAATGGTTTGTCTCATATTCACAAACGTCTATTTGATGAGCGAACTCAAGTGACTGTTTCGCAATTTGAACTAATGCTTAAAGAACGAGAACTTTCACATAATTCAGGTAAGTACTTTTTGTATATATGTAATATAATCATAATTTTAACCCAAGTAGTTATTAATATTTGTCGAATAATAATAAAAAGTTTGACTTAGTAGTAAAGACTTAGTGCGATTGTTTTAGTTAACAATAAAAATAGATGTTCTCGTTTTCTTGGATTGTTATTCATGTGTTCATATATCTGTATGCCTTCACATCATCAACTGATCATAGTTAGAAAACGATTAAAACCAAGAAGCACTGACACAGCTGTTTCGTTTTGGCATGGAACTCCACAGTAGTGCTTTCTCACAATGACATGATATCAACTAAAAACATAGACTGACTCATGTTAAAAGTGTATACCTATGAATTACATCTCAATGGTTTAAAGATTAAGAGCTCTCTGAAAAATATAAAGCTCCTGAGTTTGATCTCAGATTGGTCTTCGAATACACACTGTAGATAAATAGCATATTAGGACGAAACGGATGTTAGTGCTTCTTGATTTTAATCGTTTTCTAACTATGATCAGTTGATGACGTGAATTTTGAAACTTAACAGCCTTCACAAATCTCTTAAGCTCAAATAATCTAACTAATTAATTGTTATAAATGTAGTGCCCAATAAATATAGCGATGAATGTAAGCGAACTGTTAGTTGTGAAATTAGTTTCAACTTAATATGAATATTAAATAATAAATGTTTCGTAAAATGGCTCCAGTTGGATGTCGTCACCTGTTTTCAAACCACGTGATTAATTTTAATAGAATGTTCTACAACAGATCGGTTTATGAATTAATACTTTAAAAACTACATATTTTATATTCACATCAAATGTCTTTGAAAATATTCTTTTAACATTTATCAGTTTCTTCATAACTTATTTTGTGAATACTGGAATGTCCAACCCTTTATAATTTCATAGATTTACATTCGTTTGTGAATTTTCCCCTAATGTGTATTGAAAACAAAGTCGAATTATTGTTAAAATGATATCGTTAACTGGTACACGACTACCCAAACGAAACAAATCCATAAATTGAACACATCTTACAGAATAGATCAATAGTTGTTTGTAGTGGAATCTGAAACGCACTCCTTATTCCCTTTCGGACGTGCCAACTAAATATACGTTCATTTCAGTGTTGATGTTCAGATTGGGGCTCAAATCCTTACAATTAAAAGTATTGTTAAGCAACGGTTAATTTTAATTTTCGAAATTTTTCATGAAGTGACGTTAGTATTCATTTTTTAAATAGTGATACGTAGTGATTGGTCAATCATCAGCCTGAAGTTATATAGATTATGAATCTAACTTAGCTATGACGCTAGTGATTTTTTCAATGTGAAAATGAACTAGACTTATTTTTTTACAGATAATTTACTACCATTTTCATCATTCAGAATCATGTGTCCTTTCAATGTTCCTTTATTTAGTTTTTTACGGTATATTAAATTCATCCTGATGACTCACTCGACAAGATCGAATGAAGTTAACCAGTCATCTTATTTTAGTTTCTCTGACTATATGGGTCAACAACTATTGATTTCAGTTATAAACATGTATTCAAGGTGGAACAACCAGCAACGATAGTTGATATAGTGATTTCAAACAAGATAGCAATCATTGAATGAATGATAATTATGTCAGTAATAAGCTAGCTAGTTCACATTCAATAAAATATGGACATTGAAATTTTGTGGTAAATTAATTAACTACTCATAAGTAGGTATATGTAGGATACACAAATCTCTCAAAACGTTCCGCGTTCATTACCAAATGACAATGGCTAATACTGTAGTCGATTTCATGGTAAATAATTTATATTAAGAAGCGGGAAAAGTTTAAATCGCTAAAATAAAGCTTTTAAAACCTAGTTGTTAAATTGCTGTGTAGTTTGGAAGTTTGTGTGCATGTTGTGTCAAAAATTTGACTTTAAAATCACAACCTACTTGGAATTCCAGTGTCGTTTTCAAATTTTCATAAAAGTATCTTTTGAAATTGTCTTTTTTGATTCAGTGGTTTGGTGGTTTGTGCATTCGAGCTTGAGCCACTGTCACTGGCTCGAATCCCGCCCTATCTATATCAGTTGGATCTACTATATGGTAAGATCACTAACTCTCACACGTAGAGTATGGATTATGGTCAAGCATACGGATCTGTACCTGGTACATACATTTATAATCATAATAATGATTTCCAACTTACATAGATAATTCAATTGTTGTTTTACTTGTATCTTCTCATTGTTATTTATTCCCGTTATTTATTGCACAAGCAGGTGGCTATCAGGACTTAGTAGCTAAGTGGATAACGCGATGGCGTTTGAAACGAATGGTACTGGGTTCGAGTCCCGGAGTGAACACCAACTCTGGGGTGCGGGCACATCCAGCTGACGAGTCCCGAATAGGACGGAACGCGCGTCCTGGATTCCACTGTTAGCCACTAACCATCTTTGCTTACATAGATGATGTTTAGACTATATGATCTTAATTTCAGCTCCATTTGAACCAACATTTCGACCTGAAGGACTGTTTCCTGGTTCATATTATTTGAAGAATGTAGATGATCGTTATCGTAGATTTTATGAGAAATTATCAGAAGATTAAATGGTAAGTTAGAAAAATGTATCTTGTAATAATTTTTGTATCATTCAATTTCAATTTATCAACGTAAGTTCACTCAAAATGTTGTATAAACTGTCAAAAGTCTGTTGGAATAAAAAGGTTACCTATGCCTACATTTAGATACATTACCATGATAAAAAGCTCATTAACTTGTTGTAAATTTCAAACAAACACTTTAAAGTTTGAATTGACTAAGAGGAGTTTTTAGATTGATGAAAGTGAGATATTTTCTCACATTAAAGTTAAGGTTGTACTCTTTTCTCGTAAAATTCTCTGTATTTTTATCAATTTTTCGAACTGTCTCATCGTTTACAGAAGGAGCTATTTCAAAGTAATTTGACAAAATGTAAAGACCTGGGTCTCTCTTCTTGATGTAACACAGAAATATCGTCTAGACTGTTGGAACGATAGTGAAATCAGTCGTGCTGATTAATTTAGTAGTAGATTCGAAAATAACTGAGAGCTAGCGAAGTCAGTAACTGTTTATGCAAGCCATGTTTCCGTGCGAATGGAGGGAGTTGATGCTCCAAACCTTTTGGTTGTTATCTAATCAACGATCTCAAATAATAGTTAAATACAAGGAAGTGAAGACTTCCTGGAAATCGTTTTGTCGGGCTCAGAATCATTTCCTTTCTTTGTGTTTTAATATTATCTGTTTCTGCATAGTTCGTTCTTTCACAGCCTTTCTTCGCGAGTCATATCCTCATGTTTACAATCAGTAAAATGATATTATTTCTGCATCTTTGGTATTCATGTTGCTCTAAATTTCCTTTGATCATACTGATATGATTTGGCAACTTGCATCTCTGTATATCAGATTCCGCGTTAATGACTACTGACTGATTCGTATTCCTGTTCTTCTTTCACAAAAACCTATAGTTTAACGGATAAATGTTGGAGAAAATAACTCAAATCATTCGATCATTTCCAGTTTTCATTTCAACCTAAAATATGTTTCAACATTAAATGCATGTTTCTTAATTATACTCTAAAATAGCCCTAATTGTTATTCGCATGATATTTTTTGTCAGTCATAGTAACACAATAATAATAATAGTGATAATAATTAGGATAGTATTGAAAACTAGTTGCTTGTTTTATATTGTTACCATGACTAGATTTCCATGTACAATATGCATGGGCTACTATTTATCTTACTGGTCATCATTTTATTTACTACTGTGTGTGATTAATAGGTAGTAGTAGTGGTGGTAATGAGTTTTGTAAATTGATAGTATGATGAAGAAAAGATGTGTAAAAATATGTGGATTGTAGAATAAGTATTGATATCCTCAAGTGAGAACTAGGTTAAGCATGCATATAGGTGTATATGAATTCACAAACTGTCAAAATCACGCTTAATCATGAATGATCAGTGTTCGCAAGTATGTAGTGCACTTTTCACAACCAAAATAATTACACAAGATCGACACTGACTGATTTGTAGTCAGACGTTGAATGGAGTAAACGGATTGGTTTTTCTAGGTATCTGTACTAATATTGATATCTTCGTTCCAATTATCTTCAAAGAATCTGTGATCGATCGTACTTATGAGTTGGAAGTATACTGTGTGTTTGTCGTTTGATGTGAACATCGACAATAGACAATGAAGTTAATACTTATCATTCTTTGTATAGATAGTCTTACAGTATTCTGTCCTTTCAATATTATGTTGGCCACTGTTTGATTCACAAAGTATTAATTACTAGTTCAACTGTTGTACTAATAAATGTCAGTCTATATTTTGCCTTATAAATTTTATGATCACACCATTTCTCTGATGTGTCCTAATATTTAGCCGTTTTTCAGTGGTTCCGTTGTTTAAATTTCAACCACTAAGCCACTAACTGTAACTCAACCGTACATGCGTTTGCTTGCCTAACCGCTTCCTGTTATTAGCATTCTCACTTTTAATGCTCTCGCTTAAAATCTGCTACGCTAATTCGTATGCAGTACGTGAGATAAGATTAGAAATGTATCGTTACTAAATTATCCTAACTATATGGAACTGTAATTACTAACCATTCTCCGCGACTCTTATGTCTGTTATTGAAAATATCAACTATCTTCACTCTTTTCAATGTTTGTGATAAATAGTATAATATATTCTGAAAATAATAATTACAGAATTCACGCCAGTTTACAGGCATGATCAATTTGATATAAATAGTAACATTAGATACACAGAACAAACATGTGATAGAAGAAAGTTTTAAGTATATTAGTTCAGTAATTGTTAACGTAGTACATGTGTTATAACGATCCAGTGCATCAGCCGGGAAGTTTTAATTTTTCTTAAGTGGACAGCCTGTTGATTTATGAACGGTGTAATGAAGGTTATTCCTGTGCCAGATCGAATTAATGATAATTATCTACAACTAGAGAAAGTAAAACAAGAAACAGAGAGCACGGAACAACAATGTAATCATTACTAAAATATGTCAATTAGGTCTACCAGAATGCATATGTCATGTGGTACAGAGATATAGTGTTGATTTTAGATATTATTCAAATTAGTTCAGGTTGCTAGATACAGTGTTAACGTAAAGTGACATCAGGCAGCTGGTTTTACTTAAGCAATTCACTAATAATATCACTTATGGAATAAGATACACTTACAGGTGCTAGAACATTCAGTGCATTTTAAGAGGAGCAATATGCATTAATGCAGCGAACAAATAATGGGAGTGATGTTATCGTACGGATAGATCATGGTAGATTATTCCAGAGTCTAGAGGATTTACAGGTAAAGTAATTCATGTAGAAAGATGATTTAAAATAAGTTTGTTTCATTAGTGACAAGGAGTTTTGGTTGTCGTAATGAGAAGTTTCTGCATATTGAATCACTTGATTGGATGTAAATGATAGTTTATTAAGTATTTTGAAGAAAAAGGTAAGATTTAGTTTGAGTCTCCTCTTCCATAAAGGGTCGAGCCCAGGTTTATTTCATCTAGAATTATAAGTCAAGGTACAATCAGTTCCAAGAATACGAAGTGTAAGTCGTCTCTGTACTGATTCCAGCCTTAATTTATCCTTTATGCGCGCACTACTAAGAGTAAACGTGCAGTATTCTAGGAGTGGTCGAACATGAACTTTGTACATTAAAATACGTGACTGATCGTTATAAAGGTTTCGATTTATGTAACCTATAAGACTTTGAGACTTGGAGGTCTGTTTCAATATCGGTTCTTTAAACGACAAGTCATAGGACTATCTAAGTCTACCACTGTATTTAACCTAGATAACAGTTCGCCATCTATGGTAAGATCTAAGTTGAGTGATGTATCGCCGAAGCATATCCATCCACATTTAGCTGTATTAAGCCCCAGTTGCCATTTTAAGCACCACTGTGCTAACTTGCTAAGCTCCATGCTAATGCAATTTCGCATATTTTTTAGCTCACGTGGTGAAAATGAATACACTACTTTAAGATCATCTGCATATAGAAAGGGCTTATCCACACAAAAACTTTCCCAAATATCATTGATAAACACTAAAAAGAGCAAAGGGCCTGAGACACTGCCTGGTATTACACCACTTGTCACAGGGACAGTGCTAGACAATGAAGAGTTAATTTTAGCTATTTGATATCGGTTTCTGAGGTAGGAATCAAACCAAACATGCAAAGGGCTTTGAACTACGTAAGATGCGAGTTTACTTATAAGACGTTAGTGGCTAACGATGTCGATGGCTTTAGAAATTTCCAGGTATAGCACTAAGATTAGATATCTCTGGCTACGTCAGGAATAGACTAAAATAAAGAAGTCAAAATGACATGTCATACAAGGTCGATTTTTAAGAAATTCATATTGAGTATCATTGATAGATTTTCCAGCGAGTAATTAGTTGGAAACTTCATTATTAATAGTTTTTTTCCATAATTCTAGAGATAACTGGAGTAATATTCATCGGCCGGTAATTGTTACTGTCAGTCTTATCTCCAGATTTGTAACGTGGTATAATGTACGCGGTTTTCTAACAGTGAGGGTAGGAACCTGGTTCCATAGAGAGAGTAATTGAATGTATAAAACTTGATGTATTTGATAAATGTTACTAGTCTAGTTGAAAATAACTATGTTGAGCATACTCTTCTGCGTACTTTTGTAATGCGGTAGTAAATATGAAGTCAAAATGTTGAATTTTTTAATGACAACGTTTTTTGTAGACGTTTTGATCGCATTTACAATATTTTGATAATGTACTGAAGTCATTAGTCAATAGTTTTGTAATATGATTTAAATTGTAGCAATGGTTTAATGGTTACAATATCTGGATATTAATTGTTAGGTTGCAAGTTCAAACGCTGTTTCATCTAATTCACCATTAGCCTTAAAATCATGTATGTAGTTCATGGCTGGCTAAAATAAAAATATATATATATATACTTATACAACAAAGTTATATTACAAGTGGAAGAAAGGACTTTCATGCAATATAATAGATTTTCACATACATATCACAATTTTCACAGTTGAAACCACGAGCCGATCGAGGCTAGACCACCATTGACAACGTGGAAGCAATGGATCGCCGTTTCGTTCGAGTATGGGACTCCCCAATGGTGCGCATCCACGGCCCCGCACGCAAACACTTAACCTCTAGACCACGAAACATCTGTCAAGTAATTCCAGGTTCTGAATGATGGTCTAGCTTAGATCAATTCATGAAGTCAACTGTGAAAAATACAGTTTTCACAAATCCTCATACGTACTAATATGTCTTATACAAAGACGAAACATATACTCAACACATTCCGATTTTACCAATGATGCACCTGAATAATATCAGTTAGTGTTGAATACACTCTCTACAAATGAAGTACATAGAATTAAGTAATCAACATGTTTATTTTTCATTCAGATTGTTAGTAATTTCGTTGATTATGTTTTTTCAGTTGACTATATTTAAATATCTTATTTTGTTTCAACCATTTTCTCTCCATTTTATGAGGATTTCACCATAATCTTGGTACTCTCTGTCT